CGATTAACAACTAATCGATTATTTTTTGTTCGCTGTGCTGCCATTTTTCCACCAGAGAGAGTGCAGCACATGTTTGAAACGATCGGTGATGATCCTGTGGAGATGTTAATGCTTATATCGGCATGATCTACCCGATTATAAATAGTTTACTTTTCGGTTCGTTAATCGATTAAACGATTATTCGAATGAAAATCGGACATCACTAGATGAACGTGAAACGTCATTTCAAATATAAGGCCGTTCATAAATAATGATACAATTTGAAAGGGACCGGGGCTAATCACAAAATACGTCTCCATGGTAACTGAAATAAACACGAGTGTTCACCGGTTGGTGATAGGGTGTCCCAGGGTGATTCAGTAAACTTGTAATGACCTTATCATGCAAACTGAAGCACGCCTACGCAAACTAATTCCACCATCGGATAGGAGAAAATTTTCCCTAGTCGACGGTGTTGTTGATTTGGCAAAGCGAGCTTCGATTTGTGAGAAAAGAGCATTACAAGATTTGATTACAAAAGCTGATTCGCCTTTTTGAATTGTTGGTCGAAATTTCACGACGTTCCTTTCTTATAAACAAACGGCTGTCATTGTTACCTGTCATGATACTTATAGGGTGTCTCACAATAGGTGTCATTAAAACAAAATTGGATTACAGCAAAACAAATCAACCAAACCAAAACATTTATTTTTCATTTGAAAGATACATGTTATAAAAACAAATCATATTAATTCAATTCAAATCTCTCACCCTTTTCCTTGATAACTTTGCGCAAACGCTTTGTAAACCTATCGCAGCTGGCACGCACGATTTCCTGAGGAATTTGGTCCCAAATATCAACCAATCGTTTCTTGAATCGATCTAAAGTAAGCCCCTTCGTAGGTCCTATTTGCTGAAGCATTTAACCCCAAACAAAGAAGTCAAGTGGGTTGAGATCCGGTGAAGATGCAGGCCATTCTTCGCTTGTGATGAAATCGGGCAAATTTTCCGCGCACCATGCTTGTGTCTTCTTTGCCTTGTGAGCTGGAGCTGAGTCTTGCTGGAAACAATATGGAGCATTCCCATACAGCGTTGAAGCATGAGGAAGCAGATGGTTCTTCAAAACCTGCTCAATGTAATATTCAGTGTTGATTTTTACGTTAGGTTCTATGAAAAGAAGAGGAAGTTTTCCTTTTCGTGAAACGGCGCCCCATACCATGATTTTCGATATATTCTGATAGCGTTCTACAGCTAGTTTATCTCTTGGAATATCGGCAAGAGTTTTACCATAAACACGATCTTTTTGTTGGTTATGACTGTCCTGCAGGAGGAAGAGTTTTTCATCCGAAAATAAAATCTCGCAGTTACCGTGCCGAACCAAGAGATTTCTGCTTCTTTGGACCCTGGCTTGCTTTTGACGCTCCGTCAATCCGTGCACTCGTTGTTTCTTATACGGCTTGCATTCCAGATCATGTCTGAGGAGCCTGTTCATCGAAGCAGGGGACATTTGAAATTGTTTACTCAGTTTACGGCCAGATACGGCCGGATTACGTCTTATTCGCTCCCTCACACATTTGATCTTTTCCTTCGTTCTGGTAGTTCGTTTGGCACCTCCTTTATGTTGAATATGGACATTCCCAGTATCCTTGAACCGTTTCAAGGTACGAAATATAAACCGCTTACTCACTCCGAACTGCTTTAAGTTATTGCATATCTGGCAAGGTCTAAAAATTTTCAAATGTAATTTCACAACTTGCTCGCGTATGGCTTCCATGTTGGCTGATAAATATAAACAACGGAGTCGCTTATTTATCTTCAGCGATAGACTGTCAAAAGGATACACTCAAAATGGGTATAATCAATTTCACTGTAAAAATTACCCAGTTGAAATAAACCAAGAGTGAAAAAAGGTGACACCTATTCTGAGACACACTGTATAGAGATGTGACCCGATATGAGAGATGTGACCGATAAAAATCGATATTATTTGTTTTTAGAGATTTAAGTACGATTATATCGGATGAATTCCATAAAAAGGAGTAATTTTTGGCAAAATTTGAATAAATCTGGGACTTTCGTCCCTCTCGGTTTCATTCACTTTTCTGGTGACAGTGACTATAGATAGTAAAGTTGTAGACCGGCCAATGTGAGTTGACGTATCCAAATAAACCATCAAATCGTATGAAAACGATTTGAATGCATCGTGTAATTTGATTAAAGATGTAAAACAGTGTAGCCAAATAAATTTAGAAATTTTCCCTTTATCACAAAAGTCTGTAAATATCTGTGAAAAAAACTAAAAAGTCTGTAAATGTCTATAACGAAAAAAATGTCTGTGAAAAATTAGTCTGTAAATTCACAGACATGTCTGTAAATCTGGCATCTCTGGTCCAGAATGATAAGGCACTCATGCAGTCCCGACTGGGCAATCTCAATGTTGCTAGGATCTGTAACTAAGACAAGTTTGTTACTTTTATTACTATTCAGATAATTGTTTCAACAAGTGATATACGAAAAGCATTTACGTGACTTGGTGTTTTTGGCAAAGTTTCTCATCATAATAAGGATAATTTTTTTTCCTTCGATTTGTTTTCCGTGCTGAGCACCAATGGTCCGAAGGAAAGAATGATCAGAGATGTTATGCCTCAGAACATCCCGGCGGCACCGACTGGGTTTAAACTCAGGCCTGCTGGGGTAAGAGGTAATCACGCTTACAACTACACCACCGGCGCCGCTGACAAGGACCATCTATTAACATAAACAATTAGTTCAAAACTCTTCCGCAAAGATGACCGCACAATCTAACTTTTTTTCTCTGACGTTTTGGAGACTTTATGTCTTGTACAAAGCTGTTTATCTTGACTAAATAAACAACTCTTTTGAAGACGTAAGATTTCCACAGCCTACTGGTTCTGAGTTATATGGAGTTAAAAAAAATGTTGAAAATATGTTTTTTTTTCATTCTGATTCGGTTTTTTTTACTAACAACCATGTAATATTATATTTGTCTCTTATGCAAATGCATTAAATTAATAACTTTTGTAAAGAAACATACTGGTTTAAGCTTCAAAGATATTGAACTTTTATATCTCCCAAAGCGCAAAAAATCGGAACTTGACATTTTCAGCAATAGTTAAGCAATACTCGATAATCAAAATATCAAAATTTGAGAGAGGTTTTTTTATTAAAGAGACTTTCAGCCTTGGGCTGGTTCGTCTCTGGCGATTTGAGAGAGGTATATTTTGGTGTTTTGAAGATTTCTACATTTTAGTGGAACATGTTTTTTTTTCAATAACTTTTTTTAATGCATTGAAATGGCGTTTTGAAGACTTGACGGATTGGGTAAAGTTATTTATCTTGATAAAATAAACAAGTCTTCTGAAGAAGTCAAAACGTGAGAGAAAAACAGCTCGATTGTGGTGCCATATTTGCGGAATAGTTTTGAACTATTTGTTTATGTCAATAGATGGTCCTTATTATGATAAGAAACTTTACCCAAGACACGAAGTCGCGGAAATGCTTCGTTTTGGAGATATTATTTTTGCTAGATTGCATTCCTAGCCCGATGTGTAACAGTATGACGAGCTAGGAAAAGTTGACGGTACAAAAATGTCAAAATAATTTGTCATCACAAAAAAAAAATAGGATTGAAACATCTAGCAACTCGAATATGGACCAGTTAGGTCTGTGCTACAAATAGAAAAACATCTAGCAAATAGAAAAACAAAGAATGACCCTCGCTTTACACAGAAACTAGTAATATGGTCCGTAACATGCCTTCACCTGAGTACCACTGCTGTAGACTTACCTTTTCCATGACTTTCGGGTCGTATCCGCAATTAGGTCTTTGGCGAGACTTTGTCAGCTTGTTACCCCTTCCACTTTTGGGAGTAATTAGACCCTTCTCTGAGGGTTTCATCGGCCGGGCAATTCATCAACTGGTAGGTGGTCTCCGAAAGGAGTGGCGCATAAGCCACCTTACTTAATATCCAGGAAACTCCTTAGACTGGCCGGTTACAACAATCGATCGAAAAACAAGCCATCCAACTGAAGACTGCCCCAATCAGTGGAGGGAAGAGCCCATGCTCTATTCACAAAATGTTAAAGACAGAGAACTGACATTCCCTTGCAACTAAATTTGTTCAAATTATGGGACATTAAATTTTGGTCATTTTCCATGCTTTTCTGAACAAAGCTGTTGACATATTTTATGTGACATTACGACGGTTTTTGCCTGTTTTTCGACAAATTTGAACTGTAACTGAAAACAAAAATAAAAAGTAACATCTAAATAATATTTCAGATTTGGAAAATGTGTAAAATTTCTTATTAGAATTGATAAAGAGTTTCTGTTTTGAGCAGCGAATCCAAACACATAAAGCACCCAACGATACAGACAAACGGTTGCTACGACTACCATGACAAACTCATTCTGTAACATAGCTCGATCCGAGTGATAGAGGGATAATGATATATTGCTTGCCTGCTTTGTTGCAATATACACGGATCAAGCTATGTTGATATGAACCGAAAAAAGACATAACAAACAAATTCCCATTAACACACGTGTATTATGTTCGGCTTTACTTCGTGAAGCAGCTTGCCAACAATTTGCTCGTTTCCTTCTACCGCCCCGAGTGAGTTGTGTCGCACGGGCTGCTTGTCATGAAAAAGATGGAAGAAGATTATATCATTATTGCTTTTCACTTCTGACATAGCGTTATCATTCGGTTCGTTGATCGCTTGTCATTTTGTCATTTGGAGATATTTTTGATTCCTTGGTTTTGAGTAGTTTTTTTTTTCAACTACTGTCAAAAAATCATATAATCAAACGTGGATATATCCTGGTAGAATGTTTCTGTTAAGTTTATCATGAAAATATGTGTGCATTGTTAAAAATTTCTTTAGATACTCTCTATATTGTCCAAATAGGACCAACTTGCAATGAGCTACAGCATATAAACTAAAACTGTCAAGGTTATTTCGGATCGTTTAACAAAAGAAAAAAGAAATACAACCGATTTCAATTTCATCCATCCATCGGAGCATTGACCTCCAAAGGTATGTTCCTTTATTTAGCATTGTTTTTTCTTTGTTCTAAACCATAATTGAACGTCGTCGATTTTGTTTTGTTGTTGTTTGTTTTCTTTTCATTTTGTGTTAGTGTTTGAGTGTGTGTGTGAGTGTGTGTGTGTGTGTGTATGTGTGGTTGTTTAGTTTCGATTTAGTTTTCTCTCATGTTTGCTTTAGATCTTTCTAAAATTTGTCTCTAAGTAACATTTGTTTTTAATCTGCACTTCTTCATCTTTTTCTGTTTACTTATTTCGTCTTTTTATCATTATAATTTTTCCTCAGACGGGTTAGAAAAATTACTCGGTAGTCTTCAAATACAGCTTCTTCAAATATCATATTTCGCCATCTGTCGTCTGTTTTTTTTTCATCTTACGCCTTCTCATCAATCACTTATTACAACACTATATTTACACTAGGATTTTGGTTGTTGCACGGTTTCTATGTATGTAACACCAGTTTTTTTTTGGTTTGTTCATTATTCTCGATTTCTGAATTTCATCTAAAATGTGTGAATTTGCTTTTTGTGTGGATGTTAGTGTCGCTGGTGCGACAGTAGGTTGAGTTTTGTTTTATCAGTTTTTTTTTATTTCTTTAGGAATTTAGTGCTATTATCTTGCGCTTTAAACGATTACACTTAGCCCTTCATAATCGAAAGAGTTAACGTTGTCGTCTGCTTCAGTATCTCGTATTAAGTTAATGCGCAGTGTTTTCTCTGTTTTTCTTATTAAAAAAGATAGATTTTCAATTAACTAACGGGTCTTCCTCTATTTCGCGCAGTGTTGGTTTGTTTTGGTTTGTTCGAGAGTGACGTTTTCTGGCAATGGCTACTGGGATGGGATTGTGAGTGTAGTATTTGAATTTTAACCTGTTGTGTGAGTGTGGGAATCGCGTGAATGACGGGATATGTGAATGTATGTGTGGCTGTTTGGATTTTCGATGATGATCGCGTTGATGAATGTGTATAAGTGAGTGGAAAAAACAGTAGAAACGATTGAGAGTATTTTTCGTCAATACGTTTTAAATGCTACTCGCGAAATGAAAAACAAATCGATCAAAGTTTGTATGCATGGGTAATGGTTAAAAATGGATTCCATTGTTTCCTATTCTTGTCATGGCGATTGATTAAATATCTTTCCTAGATTAATGAGCGTACTAAGTAATATCGTTTGCTTTTGTCCTTTTCACCTAAGATAGTAATAATATTGTTCAATAATACAGATTCAGTTTTTTCGTTCTTTTGTTGTTTTGTCGAGAATTATCCCTCACGAGTGTGGTTGTGTGTATGTGTGTTTCCTTCTTTCTGGGGTGTGAATTGTCTAATAAGGTATTGTGAGTGATGAAAACGGGTTCATGCTTTGTTTGTGTCAGTGTGTTTGTGATAGTTATCCGGTAGTAACAATAAAGAACAAAATAAATACCTTATAATCGATGTAATGAGTCAGAAACATGACTTTCAACATTAGCATTTTTTTTGGTTTTGGGAATTCGCATGATACGCTATGTGCATTAAAATTCGAAAATTAATCACATAAAAACGAAAAGTTTTAAGAACAAACGTTTACAGTCTTTGGATGTACAATATCATTTCTCGTTAATATTAGCTTACGACATAAATAAATTTACCTTAAAAACACTCAAGTGTTCTGCCACGACTTATTACTGACTTAATTTCTCTGTTTTCGCCCACACAGTATAAGATTTTTTTTTTGGTTTGCTACCGCACAAAATTTCGCAGCAATTTTCGGCCGTTGGATTTTGTTTTACCTTAAACCCACATTATTTGCTGTATATTTGATTTACTTAGCTTAGAGTGGTTTTGCTGACAATACACTAATCGTTAAGTTTACGAGTTTTCGTTTTCGTGCTTTTGTGTGAAAATCAGTGTGGGTTCAAATACACTTTTCCAAGATCGCATAGGGAACAAAAAAGTCATCGATCTTGAACTTTCTAAAATTTAAGAGCGTTTTTCACGATCGTCCGCTTTTCTTTGTAGTTGTTGTATAGGTCTGTATCTGTGTTAGTTTCTAGGCTTACGATGTTTTATAAAAACAATATTTCGATTCAGTTTTTCCTACTAAAAAACTTCCACTTACTTAAGACGAAAAACAGGAACAGCGTATTGTGTTTGATTCGGTTAAAATCAAAGATAAATCTGAATGATTCGTTCTAATAAACTAAAACAACAAAATTCCTACTGATGCTTACGTGTATGTGTTTGAACATGAAACAAAAAAAAAATGTTGACTCACTGAAAGGTACTTCCATTCTCTCGATTGTTTCGGTTGTTGTTTAAGAAAAGATCTCTAATAAACTACTACTCCCTAGATTTGTTCCGTGTTTCAATCCTGGTTCAACTGCGTGTATAACTGTGTATGTGTGCATGTATGTGAGTGTCTGTCCTGTTTACGAGTGTTGTATAACTGTTAGTGTATATGAGCGTTTCTCTCTTTCTTGTTTGTAAATTCCACCGAAAAAAAAAATCCCGAACGAGAACTTCACTCATTAAAAACTCGTTGATATAAGTATATGTAGTTGAATCATCGGAATAATAGTCAGCGCTCAAAACGAGCACGTTTCCTTTCTTTCTTGTGTTTTACCCGCGAAGGAAAATTGCGAACACCCCCCTTTTGTAGGAGAGGACGAGGAGCAGAGAAAGATTTCCTTTTCCGAGCACTTTATTCTCTTGGAACTTGCATCGTCTTGTTCATCACACCCGGGCAAGGTGATGCAAACTTTAACCCCACGCCCTTGTTGAAGTTTGTCTCATTCAAAAAAATCTCCTTGATCATTATTCATTGCATCCCTCCACACTTTCTCCCCGCCTCTCCAAAACCGTCTCAACTTCCCTCATCAGCATTAATAATTAAACTTTGGTATAGCTTCCTTGTCTCCCACTTGCGCTATTCCTCGCTTGTTTGAATCATCATTATCATCATAGCCTTTCTTCGTCTGATCGATAAAAATCAACTGAAAACCTGTTGAAAAATAACTTTCTATCACCTAACCTGCCTTCGGTCCGGGGGGCCACTGCAGCAGTCGTCTGTTTCCTTTTTGTTCGGTGTAGGAAGGGGGCAGTCTCTTTCAAAGGAACAGACGCCCGTTGGCGGTGATGATATTTTGATGGCCATTCGATTTAGGTTTGTTTCTTCTGCAAATGTGCGCACGACTGACTGACTGACTGACTGACTGAATGACTAGCTGGACTGTAGACTGTTTTTTCTCCGCACTTAATTCAGCTCATCAAGCTCGGTCGGATGGTGGTCACCGTACATGTTGGCCAGTTTGTCGAACCGGGGACCCCACGCGTCCAGGTAGTCGAATTCTTGCACCTCGTCGTCGGTACCTGTTGGTGGGGGCGAGGGGGGATGGAAAACAGAATTGAAACGAATTAAATGAGGTATATCTCAGAATCGAGCGATGCACGTGTCTAATGGGTTTTTGTTTGTTTGATGCGAAAAGTAAAATTTCTGCGAGGGTACATAATTGATGGTTTTCATCATTTTCCAATTATCAACAAAGGTAGCTATTAAACCTCCATTTCATTATTCATTGTCAAATTAAATTATTGAAATTTGTAAAGCAAAAAACCGTTGCTTAATGCTTCACTTAACATTGCAGAACGGTAATTAAGGTGGGCGCCGAGATAATAGCCGTCAATATGTATGCCATGGTGAACAGAGCTGGTATGAAAATTAATTCATTACATTCATTTCGGTGTTCGAATGCAGAAAAACCCATCGTCGATAGTGGGACAATGGTGGTATGTGTGAAGGTAGATTACGTTAAATTGCATCTCTTCTCGCCTCAGAGAATTTTGATAAAACTGATTTTAAAAACAATATCGCCAAAGTGTTAAAATATTGACTTAGAACATCTTTTTTCAGGCAAATTAGAAAAAAACGCGGATGTCTAGGTCTACTTTTAGTTTTGGGAATTGACCATTTTACCGGTGATTCTGGATTTCCAAACGACCGTTTCCTGGTCACCCGGTAGCAGAATTGATATGGTGATGGCAAATTTCCTCTATGCTCGAAATTGTATGAAATTTAGAGAAAATCTGTGAATCCGGATTTCCACACAGCCACCTGTCACGGCTTTTTCCGTCCCGAGTGGTAAACCACAGGTCTATAGGTTCCCTGTCTGTTGCGTTCAAAAGCAGATAGTCTTGGCTTTCAAATAGTGGCTCAATCTTTAAATTTGATAACCAAATTGACGAGAACCAGTCATGTCAACATGAATCGATACGCATTTTGCTCGGGACAATTCCCGAGCAAAATGTTTTTCCATTTCGCGTTTCTACCATTTCTAAATGAAAGTAAATAGCCATACCTTTCGAATGGTGGCTGAATCATAACGATTAATCATTGCATTGTTGATAACCAACCATGTCAACCATGAATCGACACGCATTTTGCAGCCTTGGTACTTTGAGGAAGTTTTGATGGCTTGGGTTCTGTCAGTTAAATTAGGAGATCGAAGTAGGTCGCGCTGAAGAAGTGACGTGTTTGAATTTTGCTCCCGTGTTTAACAAATTGTGAAGTCTCTTGCGAACATGTTTTTTGTGTATTGGAATGTTTGAATCTGACAGTGGAACAGTTAGAGCTGATCGGAACGGGGATCGTGAGCCAACATCTGGAGGTTCATCGACAATGCTGCAATGACGGTGCGTTTATTCCGATGCACTTCTTTCCGAGGCCAGAGCAAGAGAAAACTGATTTTGTTATTATCAGGATCGAGGAGAAGGAGCTTGCGAGAACAATTGATCTTAAGAATCACGAAGAGGCGGGCTAGTTACAGATCATTCGGGTGAGATCCTTCCTTTTTATTTCATTTGTTTGCATTATAATTCTATTAGTCTTCATAAAAACTTTACCAAATTATTTCCCAGGGTTTAAATGGAGAAGCTCGGCATCGCCTGCTTAAGCGAATCTTGACCCAACTCCATAGCATATATGGAGGTGTCGGTGAGTCACTGGCATCTCGTTAAGTAGATGGTACACCAACAATATCCTTGCTTTCCCTGTAACGGAGAAGATGGGGCTGGCCAGCAATGGCTATTGTCATGCTTGTCCTGTTCTGAATTCTGAATGGAAAGCTATTCATTCTTAAATAGTTTTCCTTAAGCAATTAGAATAAGAACGCTAAAGTAGATACATGACAGTTACCAGTATGCAATCTATGAATTACTCCGATGCAAACGCAACGCTACGAATTTTTTAGCTTTAAGAACGATTCTGAGACTTGAACTTATTCGAATTTCTAGATATAAAAAAAACTAATAGGGTTACGGGATGTGAAGAAGACATTCCGCGCAACTACCATAAACCGGACTAGTTCATGTTGATCTTCTTCAAGCTTCTTCTACAATGTGGACTTAAACGTCAACACATGTCGGCCAGCCTTCAGGTTCAATTGGCTGAACTTGGTGAGTTCGCACCATTTTGTAAATTTTTATCTTTTCAAACCAGTAACGTAAGGAAATCACCTTTTTGTGGTGCGTAACTGGTATAAGATCTACCACCGAACCCTAGTCGTGACAACTTCAAACTAGGGAATCAGCATTTTCCAGTAATCAAAGGATCAAATTTCAGTCCTTGTTACTTTTTATGACTTGATAATAGTGAGAAGACTCGGGTAGTGACTACCGCGCCGTTATGAATTTCTATATTGTATATTTTAAATCAAAAATTTTGTTCATAGATTTCACATAATCCATTTCCCTTTGTCCTTCTCCTTTTCCTTTCCCTCTTCTCTTTTCAGAATGCAAGTAATGGCGCTATAGCCATAGCCATAAAAGGCTAGGACAAGAGTAAGTGCTCATGCCCCAACCGTCAGAAGAAAATGGAGCATCGCTTTTCTAGCTTTGATGCTTCCAATGACCAACCAATCATATAATTACCAAAGCGGAACGTACGGTACGAGATGTCCACATTTCATCCGTTTATTGGATTCTGAAGCATAGTGTTTTAATTTTCGATTTAAACAGGCCCGATGTTTTCTGAATCATCTTGCCCCTTAAATGCTGCACAATAGGCCTGGCCGTTTTGATATGTGTGACGCATCTTTAATGTGAAACATATATCACATAGACAAGAAAAATGATGTAGGTATATACACTACCGGTCATAAGTAAGGACTCGCTTGAAAAAGTATTGCAACACTCATATTGAATATTGTATCACCTTGAAGAGTTTAGCATCACCCCACGTATTCACATTATTTTTGGGTGATGCTAAACTTTTCAAGATGACGCAATATTCAACATGAGTGTTGCAATACTTTTTCAAGCGAGTCTTTACTTATGACCGGTAGTGTATATCATTTTCCAGGATGCTTTCAAGAACTGGCTTAGATTAGATTAGATTGGGGTTCTGTCAGTTAAATTAAACGAACAAAAACCTATTTTCGAAATGCTACCACAGAGAACAGACATCCAAGCTTAAACAAATTTTTCGAAAAATGATGTGTAAGAATTCAAATTAAAATACTACTAGCGCCTCCATACGGAATGTTGCGACTCGAGTTATCACTTTGTGCGATTAATGAGTAAACTGAACTAAAATTTGGGTTGACCTTATTGACCGTGTATTCAAATGAACTGTCAAATCAGTTCAAAACAATCAAGACAAAACAACAGAAATCAATCGAGTTGTGTGGTCAAATGTGGTAAGATTTGAACACTGCTTACCCTGCATCCGTTCTTCCAGGAATTCAAAAAGCCTCCGGGGGAAGTGGTCGGAACATAACTTTTTCGTTGCAAGCACTTGGACTCCATGTTAAAAGAATATCTCCTGTGTTTTTCCTGGATTTTCGCTTGGTAACACCTTGTTTATTTGCACTCCAATAAAACTCGCACTTGCGGTCAATGTTTTGATCGGTTTTAAACAAATGTTTTGCTCACAACAATTTTGACATTTATGTTAAGATGACGTCTGCCGGGCATCGACGTCGATGGACCACTATATTGCTAGTTTCAAATGTCTACTCAATATAGCAGTTAAATTTCTTACACACTTTAGGAATTTGACTTGGATGTCTGTTCTCTGTGATGCTACCGACAAAATGTGCATACTGATTGCAAGCCTCCCTTAGCTCAGTCGGTAAAGGCGCAGCTACAAAGCAAGACCATGCTAGAGGTGGCTGGGTTCAATTCCCGGTCCGGTCTAGGAATTTTTCGGGTTGGAAAATTTCTCGACTTCCCAGGACATAGAAGTATGATTGGACTTGCCACACAATTATACAAATGCAAAAATGGTACAGGCATCGAAAGCTCTCAATTAATAACTGTGGAAGTGCATCTCGAACTCGAACACTAAGTTGAGAGCACGCAATAAGCTAATATGCGATACGCAATAAGCTTGAAATGCGAAGAAGAAGAAGAAGAAGAAGAAGAAGATTGCAGGCCACGGGAGTATACATTTAGGTTTTATCTTTATGTTACTTCTGAAATTAATTTCAAAGGTTCAAGCCGGATAGTTATGCTTTCTACACAGCAGTATTGAAAATAATTACATTTTTTTTCTAATAAACATTAGAGCTATCAAAGGATGAAGGATGTACCCAAGTCCCTGGCAAGGTGGCAGATAACGTCACATGACGAAAACAAAAATGGATTGACGTACACCGCCGCAATAGTAATTCTCTATGGAAAACCAACTTTTTGTTTCACCATGTATGGATGTCAAACAGCAGACAAGAATGCCATATGAAAAGAGCTGATTTATGATTTCCGTGGTGAAATGAAAGAAATCCATATAAATTGGAGCCGAGTTTCATCTTTTTTTTTTAACTCTTTATTTGTTCCAAATTCAAAATAAATTACATTTCATTTTAACCTAGGTGCTCCAGTTACTGCAGTAACGTACCAGCCTTAATTGTTATGATATATATCTATGTGTTTTTACATTGTTCATGTCTTGGCAATTCAGTATTTTAAACAGGTTTTTTAACCTGCATGTCAGTATAACAATTGATATCTTAAAACTAAAAACTAAAACTAAATCTTATCTAAGTATAAAGGGAATTAATCGTTGCAATTGAGGATTGCAACGATTTTTGCCTGAAATTATTAATTATTTTGTTGGACATTTGTTCTAAAGTCTCAACATTCGAAATTCTATGTACTTCGGTAGTACTGTACCAGGGAGGCAATCTCAAAATCATTTTCAGAACTTTGTTCTGAATCCTTTGAAGTGCTTTTTTCCTAGTAGTGCAACAACAAGACCATATTGGCACAGCGTAAAGCATGGCCGGTCTAAAAACTTGTTTAAATATTAGAAGTTTATTCGTCAGGCAAAGTTTGGATTTCCTGTTTATAAGAGGATACAAACATTTTATATATTT